TATAACTGCTTAATCAGGATTCTGAGTCAATCCTGTAGACACTGTTGAAAGATCATTAGACATTTATATTCAACTAAACTAACCATTAAATAAAACTGTTCTTTACTTGGTTTAAATGAGGCTATTTTAGGGACAAGCATTGCTAAGATTATAGGTCTAAAGTTAACTTTGTCAAGCTTGTAATAAGCAACCATCCATCCATAGTCAAGATGAATGTTAAAGTGTAATTATCCCAGGTATACGTGTGATGAGCTAGTTGAAAATAGGAGCAGGCATTCTTCAGCAAAAGTTGTAATGTAGGAATGTGTCTTATTTGCAAGGAAAGAAATTTATTTTTTTCATCCTATGATAGAAGTATTTTACATGATTTGGTTTTGGTACTATTCTTCAGTAATACAAATCACTTAAAGTAATTGAGCTTCAGTTGTAGTTGAAAAAAAAAAATAATCAAAAATCTAGGCTTCGCCAGAAGCTGAAAGCCTTGGATGAAGGTGTAAAACTAAAACATTGGGCAGTAAATAAATTTTTTTTTCATTTGTAGCTAAAGGTTGTTTACTTTAACTAAAATTTTCCATTCCAAAGTATATTCTGATAAGAAAAAGAAAAGTTTCTTTATTATCATAATATAGTAAACACATATTGCAAGTATCTCTACCGAAAATATCACTAACACTGAGGGCACCCAACAATTCATTCTGTCTAATCATAAGAGCTGGGAGATGGGGAAATTTGTTAATTGATTATTATTTGGGATCATTAATCAGTTACATTCAACTACTTGATTATTCACACATGAGACTTGGATAGTTAAAATAATTAGAAACACTAATTTCAACTACTTGATTATTCACACATGAGACTTGGATAGTTTAAATAATTAGAAACACTAATTTCAACTACTTGATTATTCACACATGAGACTTGGATAGTTTAAATAATTAGAAACACTAATTTCAAATAGTTGATTATTCACACATGAGACTTGGATAGTTTAAATAATTAG